GTCAAGTTAGTTAACATACAGGGTATACAGTGTGCTCTTGGTTTTGAGGGTAGATTCCCATGATTCATCGGTTACATACGACGCCCAGTGCTCATCCCAACAAGTGCCCTCCTCAGTGCCCATCACCCATTCCCCCCCCATCCCCAGCCCCCCCATCAACCCTCAGTTTGTTCTCCTCATTCGAGTCTCTTATGGTTTGCCTCCCTCTCTGTTTGAAACTTCATTTTTTCATTTAAACCACTTTAAAGAGTACAATTCAACTACATCGACAATGCTCAGATGTTCAGTGTTTGGTGGGTCCATAAGTCAAGCAGAATTATACGACCCAGCATCTCACTTCTACATTTATGTGTGTGTGTGTGTGGAGCAGCAGAGGAGAGCTGGGGTGGCCGTTGTGAGCTGGAGGGAGGCGCGGAAGGACACGTGTCTGGATCTAACGTGTTGTGGGGTTGGGGGCGTCCCAGGGGCTCCGAGTCAGGGGGACAGACCGCACCCACTCAGAAGAAGTGGACGAACAGCCGTGATCAGTGGCGTGGCTTGGTCCCCCCGTGTCACCACTCCTTGTTGTAAAATGGGAAGCAAATACTGCCTCCCGCACGGAGCTGAGGGGATGGTAAACTGAGGTAGTCCTAAACACACAGGAGGAATTATTATTTATGTGGTACGCACATCAGAAGTAATAATAGTCCATACTTGCTTATTTTATGCCGGGCGCTTTTCTAAGTGTGTTCCGTGCACGTGCTCATTGAGTCTTCCTGCTCGGCCTGGGAGTAGCTGCTTCTACTCTTCCTATTTCGCAGATAGTGAAACTGAGGCTCCGAGAGCTTCAGGGACCTGTCCAACCTCACAGGGCCAGTGAGTGGAGGGGCTGACGGTCGCATTGCTGTAGCAGATCAGCTGGGAGAAATAGATCAGGATGAAATATCAGCTGTCCCCTCTGTCCCCTGTGCTCTGTCATGGGTCTGCGGTCTCGGGAAAGGAGCGTAGGAAGGTCCACCGCCTTGTGAGCGGCGAACTGTTTCCTGCCTCGGAAATGCACACTGCGTCCGGCCCACCTTTCTGCCTCTCTGCGCACTGGCACTTGTGCCCAGAACAGTATCCAGTGCTCCTTCCTTCGGCCTTAAGTGTCTCTTCACTGCCCTGCCGAGCCTAGATGATCCCTCCCAGCTTGTATGTGTCCCTCTTACGAGCTGACCCCAGTGATTTGTAACAATCCTATACTGTGTTTAGCTGTATATACCGCTCAGTCACTCATTCACTCATCTTTATAACCAATAAGTACGTATCAAGTACATACTATGTGCCCCAAACTATTCTAGGTGCTAGAGACACCATGGCCAAAAAAAAAAAAAAAAA